GACTTTTCTGGGTTAAAGGAAAGAAAAGGCTAATGTTAAAAGGAAAACTGAAAATGGCTTGAAACCTTAAATAAGATGGAGAGTTGAGTTTTTTTTTTTTAAATATAATTTCTAATACCAATTGCCCAAACAATTTGTTTACAGGATAGAAATACACTCATGCAATCACTATGCACTAAGGCAATAATTGCCATTGGCCAATTACCTGAGCAATTATGGAATTGGATCCTCTCCGAGGCAAACCCTCGGGATCCACTAACGTGGGCCGTTAGATTTTGATCCAACGGCTACAATTATTATAACTTTAGAGGGACCTCCCTGTTTGTAGCCGTTGGATTTTGATCCAATGGCCTACGTTAGAGGATCCCAAGGATCCCGAGGAGTTGCCTTAGAGGGGATCCAATTCCAGCAATTATTGCCTTAGTGGGCTGTAGTTCTAAACCCTAAACAATGTTTGCAATGATGGTTTTGTTGTAGAAATGAGTAGATAGTCGATCACTTAATCACTTTATTAACTCTCATATTACGATATTAATGCTAGATGGGAAGTTAATTATTAGCTAAACGGTCAAGTGAGCTCAAATAAAGCTCACAATGGGAGACTTCAAGTTCAAGGTAATGCTTGTCCCTAGACCCAGTGTCCAACTGTAAAGTTTTCGAAAGGAGAATTTTCTGTGACATGAGAGATTTTGCACTCTTTATCAACTTTTGCAAAAGTTAATTATGTTCATTGACTATCTTTTAATTTTTTCAATCTAATCTGTACGAAAAAAAATATGCATAAAGTAAAAAAATGGTGTGCAAAATTCATTTCATTCTTGTTGCGACGACTTGGTTAAGCTAAATTATTGGTAGATGTGATTTGCGGATGATTTTATCCATTGGCATCGTTTAGTTTCTAATATAAGATTGCATTAGATAACTTACTAAATTCAATATACGTTAAATGAATAAATGATTACAAACTTCTAAATTTTGTCCAAGTTTAAAGTAGAAATGCAACTTATTTACTCCAATCTAGATTAGTAACAAATTAAACTATATATTACGACCAAAAAAATATTAGAATTGAGTAAGAGAAATTATTTTCATACTAATTCATCATCTACCTTAAATGTGGACAAAATTTAAAATTGCATCATTTCTTTATTCGACGCACATTATCTTTCAATCCTAAACATCAAATCAAACGAAGCTATGGAATCTTACCATAAGGTCTTATCTCATGACAATTGCATTCATAAAAGGTATAACCGTAAGCGCATGTACGGATAATTTGCTCTTGAATTAGGTAGCAATTAGCAATGTATTTTTTTGCAACATTATTATTTGACGACGTTGAATATTTGGCAAGCAAGATTTCTGGCCCTAATATATAATACAAGCGCAGATAAATTCATGTTACGGAGTGGGTCTATATTGTGTAGGAGTAGAGCACAAATAAAGTGTCACTCCCCCAATAATAGACAGGATAAGAAAACAGATCATGTTGAAATATGCTTATTCACCATTGAACGTGTGATCAAATTTTTTTTATACAACTATATACTTTAAGAGAAAGAGGATTAGGTTATGTTACAAAATGGATCAATCACTAATTGGGTATCAAACTCGACCCAAATATAATATTTTCTTGTCATTTATACAAATTTCTTACTTACAAATGAAAAAGAATATTAACGAAACGGAGAACTAATAAGTGTGTGCTCCCATCACAGTTACCTTGGAGGCAAAGATATTGAGTTATCCTATTAATTGTAGCATGGGGTTGAAGCAAGCAAATTTCCTCTTTGTCGGGGTCCATGGGGCATGTGAGAAGCACATGTGACTGCATGTGATTTTGTTTCTCTTCGAGTTGTCCATATATAATCTCATTCCATAGGCAATCTAACTAGGTTTGTTGCAACTGAATTCTCATTTTAATGACGTTCTTGTTCGTGGTTTGTGTAATAATTTGTAAAAATGAGACGTTGATCCAAAATTCATACAATTGTTTATAAAAATAGTATGATGGTCTGAAATTCGTTAATTCCACTCGGTATGTTTTATATCGAACTCATTTGTTTAATTCATAGATTTTCCCACAACAACAAATTAATATAAATGGTCTAACTGATTCCATATAGTCATCATGATATATCCAAAATTGCAACTATGCAAAGGCACTTTAAATACTCAACTTTAGAGAACATTCTAAACTTTCAAAACTGAAATAATGTTAGCAAATTATTTTGGGTGTTGGATGTAGTATATTGAATTTATGAGAGAATGACAGAAACCAAACCAAACTTGTAGGCCATATATTCTTAGTTGAAAATCGAAGACCTTTAAACTTTAAATAACATGGAGAGTTGAGTTTTTATTGTGATACGTAAACCTTAAATTTATTAAAAGGAAAACTAATTGAAAGGGCTTGAAAACTTTAAGTTTTAACGATAAAGATAAAATAAAAGGTAAAGTGAATAATACCAAGATTGACTTTTTAGTTTTAAAATGTGATTTTTCGTTAAATACTCAACTTTAGAGAACATTCTAAACTTTCAAAACTGAAATAATGTTAGCAAATTATTTTGGGTGTTGGATGTAGTAATTTATGAGAGAATGACAGAAACCAAACCAAACCAAACTTGTAGGCCATATATTCTTAGTTGAAAACCGAAGACCTTTAAGTGCTTTCTGTAAGAAAGAATCATCAGTTATGTGCTTCTTTTGGGAAGCATTTTAAGTGATTTTCGAGGATTTACTTGCATTTTTACTAAGAATTGGTTCCAAAAATATTTTTACCAAAAATGCTTTCAGTCATTTTAAAAACACATTCAAACGAGCTCTTAGAAAGCCATCATCCGAGCATGTCATTAGTAACTTACATGATCTTGTTGATTTTTTTTTTTGTTTTTTTGTCAAATGATAAATTTTGTTAGATTAGATGTTAGATTAGTCACTGACAGAATTTGAACTCACTCTATCATACAATGCCTCAATACCTTTCTACCGTTTTGGTAAATGGTCACCCCCACATGATCCCGTTGATTCAAAAAGGATATAAAAGTGGTTACATGTCCCCCTTTTTTTTTATCAATAGTTTGGTGGGGTCTGAGGGGGGAGGGAGGAAGAGGGTGGAGAAGTCTCGAATCCAGATGAAAATGGCCACAAGGGTGCTTAATTTCCACTTTAACACCAGCAGTTCTCAGTGGTAATATGCCCTTTACTCTATTGATTTTGTTCGGGTTTTCTCTTTTTGTATTTCATCAAATCAGAGTGAAAATTACAAAAATGATTTTTCGTTGTTAACAAAAAGAAAAGGCAAAAGTGTTTTTGTTAATCTCTATCTAATGTTATTTCATCAAATTGGATTCAAAATTATTAAAATGCGAACATCTATTAAAATTAATTGATAACTAAAGAGATAGATTGTATTGAAAAAAAAACTAAGGGGATAGATTGAATATCATTTAAAGACTAACTACGATACTTACATTATTTATTATACTTATTAACGATCATATATAATTCATATGAACATATGTATTTAATATAATCATTATTTGACCGTCGAGATGTTAATTGTATATAAAAAAAAATCCATGACATAAAATTCACACTATCAACAAAACTAATTGTAATTAGCCCTCGATAGCATCATTATCATCACCAAATTGTACATGAGTTATGTTTTCGGTTAACGTTATTGTTTGTCCTGGGTTTTTAAATGCGGGCTTCAGATATGGGTTGGAAACTTGGTCGGCCCTTCCAGTTAGAATTCTGTACGTCTTCTAATTTATTATGGGCCCATCGGATAAATGTCATACAATAACCCAACAAGACCTCCCGTTTTCTTTTGCCCATCCCTTATTTCTATTTGAAATAATCCTTCTCAACGAATGAGGAACCAGAAATTTTCTCATGCCAAATTGAAATTTTTGCTAAATTATTACCCTCCACCGCCGCCGCCGCCAAAAGAAAATAAACCGTGCCTTAGCTAGAGGGGGTAAATCAATCCTCTGGGTTGTCAACGGCAGAGGTGGTGTTGAGAGCAAGGAAGAAAATATCGGTAATATCGGAAATATCGGTAGTTCGAAAACACGGAAATATCGATGGAAATATCGGGATAATATCGATATCGATAAAAATTACATGGAAACCACGGAAATTGTAAGAAAAACTTGGAAATTTTTATTGAAACTTTGCAGGATGTTTATTTAGTCAATTATCTATTAGTTTATCACAAAAAATTAGAAGGAAATGCATTGCATGATGGATTTAACATTATCAAGTTGATTATATAGCGAGCTGACAAATATTGTGAGTGTAGAAAATATGTAATAATTAATGAAAGAAGTCTAAACACACTATAATCATTTATATATAATGAATTAGTACAATATTTTACACTTTATACATTGCATGGTAAGATACATGAGTGACTTAGTACCACATAGAGTTCCTATGAGGTTCAAAATTTTCACTATCTTCATCATCTTTATGTGTAGAGTAGATGTATTTTAGCATATTTTCACAAAAACATAAGTGATATAGTGGTCAAGGTGTTGAAGGAGTAAAATGGGAAGGGTTCGAATCCCCTTGGTGTTTTAAAGACAAAATTATATTAGTTTCCAAAAAAAAAAAGGAAAACTAATGAAAAGGGCTTGAAAACTTTGAGTTTTAATGATAAAGACAAAATAAAGGGTAAAGTGAATAGTACCATGATTGACTTTTTAGTGTAAAAATATGGTTTTTCGTTAAAGTGAACAGTACCGGGTGCTTTTCGTTAAAGTTCCAAAAAAAAAAACACAATTATATTAGTATTTTATTAGTTCTCAAAGACTTATGCCATGGAAGAAATTGCATGGTGTACATATATCAACCATGGAAGGTGACCTCACCCCCAATATGAAAACTGACGGTCCAATAAATATGGCACCTCACCCCCAATATCAAATTCGAATAATAATGTAGTTCGAAAAAAGGTTGAAAACATTTTTTTTTGTTAATCGGCGGCATTAAAAAGATGAATGTATTAATTAAGAGTTGCTTTACCAACAAAAGCACGGGACATCCACTCATCTTTCTCTCTTCCCTAAACGCACCCACACCACACAAATTTCTATCATTGTCTCTCTCTCTCTCTTGCCCACATCACTCTCCTTCTCTCCCTCGGTCTCTCCGTCTCCTTCACACGCACACACAACAAGCAGAGAACACAGAGCCTTCCGTCTCCGTCTCTCCCTCGGTCTCTCCGTCTCCTTCTCTCCCTCGGTCCGGTCTCTTCGTAGTCCGTCCAATATGCTGGGTCACCTCATCACCTCAGTCTCTCTCGAATCTCGATCTCGATCTGGATCCTTCCCTCAATCTCTCCATCCTTCTTCTTCTCCCTCAGTCTCTCGAACTCGATCCTTCTCCGGTTCTCCCTCCCATCTCTTCTCTGCAACTCCGCCGAGCACCATCACCACCTCCCCCCCATCTCTTCTCTGCAACTCCGCCGAGTTGCTTGGGGCCTTTTTACGATCTCTCTACACCCCGGGGGACGTGATTTTGCTGTTGTTCAGCTCGTACCCACCACCTGTGGTTTCCTCCTCCCTTTCTCACCTCCCGGCGGCGGCGACGACGACGAATATCGCGATATTTTCGATATTATCGATAATATCGCGATATTTGGACGAAAACCACACGGATACCTATTTAAATATCCATTCCCCGAAAAATCGATATTATCGGCGATATTTCGCCGATAATATCGATATTTAAATCCATGGTTGAGAGAGAGTAAAAGGTGCAATTGCATAGGGTTTCTAAAAAAAATTAGTATTTTATAGTTAACTTTTGAACAAATGATTATTTATACTAAGAGGGTGGAGAATGAGCTAAACTTCACAATGGACTAGTAATAATGTAGTTAAAATTTGCCTTTGACGAGAATCAAACTTAAGATTTCTTACTTACAAGTTAAGAGAAATACTACTAGACCGTAATACTAAGTAGCGGTATCTTATATTTATATGTAATAATGCTATATACTAAAAAAATTACTTTTATTAGCACTTTAAAATCTCATAGTGCACTTTTTATAAGTATAAATTTTTTTTCTTTCTAAATATAAAAATTTGGGGTGCACAATGAGATATTAGGAGTGTGAATAACACCTTAAAAAATGATTTTCTTTTCAATTTTATTATATAATAATGCTATATATTCAAGTGAAATTTTGAAGTTGGAGTTTTTGAAGTTTTTTTTTTCTTATTTGGTTGCCTAAGATTGAACTATTTTTGTTTATTTAGTGAAAGTTATGTTTCTAACTCTTTTTGCTTATTATTCAATAACATTTGTAAACTTACAATTAGTGAGTCCTAAAATTTGTTTCGATTTAAGTTATTACTTTATAGTACCAATATATTGTCCTACTTATATATATATATCTTAAAAATGAGCCATTTTATAAATTTCACACATGGCCCCCGAAATCTCAGAGACGGCCCTGGTCAACGGGTGTCCATTAAGGCCTATTTTGTTTGATTTTACCTTACACAATCATCACCACTACCAGTCTCACCTTTATATTATGATGATATTAAATTAAACGGGTACTCATTAACAATCCAAGAGATTAATTTGCGAACTCTAGCCCTAGCCAATCACAAATCACAACACACATGTATGCCATTCACAATACACATGTGGACCTCATGCATATATGCTCCTCTTAGGGCTGGTTTGGTATTGTTGTGCTTTGAAAAAAAAACTGTTTCTGTGGCTGTGAAATAAAGCCGTAGAGTGTTTGGTAAACTTTTTTGTAAAAATGCTTTTGATAAAAATAAAAAAAAAGCAATATTATAGTGTTTGGTAAACTTTTATGTAAAACAGATGGGAAAAAAAAAACAGGTTTTTCAAAGCTGGGTTTTGCAGCTTCTTGTTTTTGGCTTTTTTTTTACCAAAAATTGTGAAAAAAAACTGAAGTTGAATGTTTACCAAACACAAAAAAGCTCTCAGCTTCTTTTCATACTAGCTTTTTTTTTAATCACCTCAATCCCAAACTGCACCTTACACATACGAAATATCATATTTGAGATTAAATCACAACTTAGATTTTCAAAATCCACAACTCAAAATTTGACTACTCTGTAGACCACTGCGATGTTAGTAGAAGTGGGGTCCTACCTACTGCTATTAACATGTTAATTTCTTTTTAAAATCCTTAAACATTTTGTTTTTTTTGCTAAGAAATCTATTAGGAAGTTGGTCTAACTTATCATCATACTTTTTAATACCTAATTCAGTTTCGAGTAAATATAAACACGTTATTTTTCACTTCTCAAGCATTCTTATTTAACTTTTTATGTGAAAAGGTAAACAAACGTGTAAAAATCAACTGATCTAAAAAATGTTCTTTGTGGCATGTATGAAAGATAAATTAGCCGTTGAAATGTGCTAAAAACTAATTATTTCCTTGTTTAACAAAAGTGACACTTCGGAATATGGCCAAATTTGAAAAGTGAAGGAAATTCCAGCACAATCCAGGTGGGAAACCAAAACTTCACATAAACAAATAATTAAACGCATAATATCGATTAACGGCTGGCTGCTTGGGATGAAGATTCTCTTTGATTTTTTTTTTTTTTTTTTTTTTGTGGATATATAAAGGATCAATCACTGGTGTCTATTTATCATATATCGTTCGATCAGTTTTCGTTTGGTATTGTTATATTAAAATAATTTTTAATCACATAATTTACAATAAACAAATATAATTGATTAATCATCCAAATTTTTTACAAGAGAATCCGGCTCCTTCGTCACAACAACTTTGACACACTGGTGACGTGGCATGCAAACAGAATAACAGATAGATACTTCGTTTTTTAATCACGTGCGGATTTAATACTGTATCTCTGGAGGCCTGCAGGTGAGAAATGGGAACGCATAGTTTTGTCTGGTTTTTCCGGCTTTTCTTTTCCCTTGTGACGCACAGAATGATTGAGAAATTCTCAAGGTTGACCACATGTACGATATATTTTATTTATTTTTTTCAATTTATGTCGAGATTGAAAAATACAATTTATATTATATGTGCCGACTTCCAGTTATAAACAGTCGGCAAGCACGTGAATATTGGTCAGATTATCCAAACACCCAAAGATAGGAAGGAACAAATAAAGTGACTGGTGCCATGACGTGATTGAATCTGTGTGATGACGATATGTGAGTTACCTTAAAAAGTTTTCATTCAATTATTTAATTATTAATTCATGCATAGTTAATTCTAGCGTGATTAGTATGTCGATGACATGATGTTAATGTTAAATTTGCTCTTATTTCATAAGAATAGCTATAGTAGTTGCGACACTTAATTACTTTAACATAGTAACTTAGATATTGCCTGTAGTGTGAACAAGGATAGTACATAAAAGGGGTGTGATATTCATACACTTCATTTTACTTCTTACACAACTTCTTAATTTTCGACATTTGGATCGGATGAATTGAAGAAGATCAACGAACAAAATCAATGTGTGTGTGAGAAGTAAAATGGAGTATGTGGATAGTACACCCCTACATAAAAATGTGAGGAAGTTGGTGTTCATGATTGTCCACAATCATAAGCAAAGGCAAATCACTTGATAACTAATGCTTATCTATCCGTTTGCGTACTAAAAGTGTTTTAGTTAACGTTCATGATCTTTACTTAGCTTAAGTATCGATCGGATGCATGCAAATCTTTGCTTTCAATTAATCCTTAATTATAAGTCACCTTTTAATCCTTGATTACGCAAAAAAGCAAATTACGGTAAAGTTATTGTTCATCATTATTCATTAGTTCATGGTTGTTTACAAAAAACACAGATTAAATCTAAAGAAGCTGAAAATAACATGAGATTAGAGTTTAACTTTGTTGATCATACTAAGGGCAGGGAGTATACGTGTTATTTGGCCGTATAGAAAGCGTGACAGAATCCTGACGTGATTTTTAGGTTTGGTTGAACAGAATCATATCTGATCTTTTGGACAAATATATAAGATTTAAAGGATAAAGCTTGGATGATTTGGGTAGATATATTGATTCTGACCTTTCGCCTTCAAGTTCATTGTCTATCGTACGTATCTACATGGCTTCATCTGTACCATAATAAAATGGAAGACTTTGAATGCGGTCCCTAACTATGAATATTATTTAACTGAAACCTTGTTGATTTTCAATTTTTGATTGAAGTCTCTAAAATTAATGTAATAATTTATTTTTATGTATGTTACTATATTTTTAAATTAAAAATTGAAATTTATAGTTATTTATATATTAATGAGATTTTAAATGAAAAACCATAATTTGTGGGAAAAATATTAAAATATAAATTATACTATTATGTGTGTGTGTGTGTAAACATGGGTACATTCTTCAAAATCACATAAAATTATGGGTGGGTTTTGGGTCGATTTCAATTCCTTACAACATCTTTAAAACATTTCAGTTTCATACATTTACTTATCATTTTATTTCAATTTCATACATCCGTTAGAAAATCCGTTATGTAAACCGTTAAGTGATGAAGTGGCAAATATGGGGTCCCCATTTAGGATGACGCGGCTGCCACATTTGTGCCACGTGGTTAAACACTTAATCAAAATTTTAAAATATTAAAATAATTAACTAAAGAAAAGTAAAAATAAAACCAAGAAATCATCTTCTCTACCCATTCCTTCCTTCCCGTCGACATCGTATTGCCTTAACCAAGCTCAGATGGACCCTCGAGTTCCAGAGCTCCTCTTCTTCTCCACCATCACTCTTGCTCTTGCAAGGACCCAAATCCGCTACACCATCGCTCTTCCTTTTCCTCCTTTTTCCTTCTCCCTCCAAACCCCCATAAATTTCTACACTTCTTCCAAAACCCAAAAATCAAAATTAGCAAATCTTGAAGCCCCATTTGACACATAGACCTCAAAAGAGAATTGTAAGTCCATACACTACTCAAATTAACCCTATTGAGCTTAAAGAATTTTAACTGGATCATTTAACCATTTAATAACCTCAAAAGCAATCGAAGAGGAAATGGAGATCTTGGAGTCTCAAACCCAGAAGGTCAAATGGGTTGTGAAGAACTTGAGAGTCATCTGCAGCGCTGCGCCAACTGAGCTTGTTTGAGGCGTGCAACGTCGACAAGAAGGAAGGGATGAGTAGGTGTGGTGGATAAGGGTGCTTGAAGGAGAAAGTCGAATCGCTGGAAAACTAGATGGTGGCAGAGGTTAAGGAGAGTTGGAGTTTTGACGGGGAAGATAGGTTTTTGATTTATTTTTTGGATTTGAGAATGAGTTCATATTTAATGGGGGAATGGCTGGGTGATGGGGATAGGAGAAGGGGTGGTGCTCGAGTGGGGAAGATGAAGTCTTGAAGACGATTTATGGGGATTTTTTTTTCTTTAGTTAATTATTTTAATTATTTTATTTTTTTTATCAAGTGTTTAGCCATGCGGCACAAATGTGGCAGCCACGTCATCCTAAATGGGAACCCTATATTTGCCACGTCATCACTTAACGGTTAACTTAATGGATTTTTTAACGGATGTATGAAATTGAAATAACATGATAAGTAAATGTATGAAATTGAAATGTTTTAAAGATATTGTAAGGAATTGAAATCGACAAGGGTGGAGCTACCATGGGCCTAGGGGGCGGATGCCCCCATTGAGATTTTTCTGATTCTACTCACTGATATGGTTCTGCAGTAGCAGAGCCCATATTGAGAATTTTCTGGTTTTGCTTAAACTAA